CAAAAGATTTCTCTGCAGTATATGATGCTGTTTAACAGCATTTTACCCATAGTAGAACTTCTTTCAAAATTGGAGTCAATCCTCTCAAACCCTGCTGCTGCTTTATCGACTGTTTATGTAATACTCTAAATCCTTTGTTGTCATTTCAACAATATTCACAGCATTTCTACCAAGAGTAAATTTCATCTCAAGAAAGCACTTTCTTTGCTCATCCATAAGAAGAACTCCTCATTTATTCAAGTTTTATCATGAGATAGCAGCAATTCAGTCATATCTTCAGGTTCCACTTTAATTATAGTTTTCTTGCTATTTCCACCACATCTGCAGTTTCTTCCTTCATTGAAGTCTTGAACACACCTCAGAGTCATCCATGAGGGCTAGAATCAACTTCTTCCAAACTGCTGTTAATGTTACTATTTTGACCTCCTCCCACAAATCACAAATGTTCTTAATGGCATCTAGAATGGTGAATCCTATCCAGAAGGTTTTTAATTTATTTTACCAAGATCTATCAGAGGAACACTATCTATGGAGCTAAAGCCTTATGAAATGTAGTTCTTAAATAAGAGAACTTGAAAGTCAGAATTACTGCTCGATATATGGGCTGCAGAATGGATGTTGTGTTAGCAGGAATGAAAACAATATTAATCTCTTTGTACCTCTCCATCGGAGCTCTTGGGTGACCAGATGCATTGTATGAGCAGTAATATTTGAAAGGAATCTTTTATTTATCTGAGCAGTAAGTCTCAACAATAGGCTTAAAATATTCATTAAGCCATGCTGTAAATAGATGTTCTGTCATCCAGGCTTTGTTGTTTCATTTACAGAGCACAGGCAGAGTAGATTTGGCATAAATGTTGAGGGCTCTAGGATTTTCAGAATGGTAAATGAGCATTGGCTTCAACTTAGAGTCACCAGCTGCATTAGCCCCTAACAAGAGTCAGCCTGTCCTAAAGCTCTGAAACCCAGTTTTGACTTTTCTCTAGCTATGAAAGTCCTAGATGACATCTTCTTCCATCATAAGGATGTTTCATGTACATTAAAAATCTGTTGTTTACAAGGACGTAAAAGACCTCTACAGGGAAAACTATGAAACACTGAGGAAGGAAATAGCAGAGGATGTAAACAGATGGAAATCCATACCATGCTCGTGGATCGGCAGACTCAATATCATCAAATTCTATACTACCCAACTGATCTACAGATTCAATGCAATACCTATTAAAATCCCGTCAGCATCTCTCACAGATATAGAAAAAATAATTTTACACTTCGTATGGAACCAAAGAAGACCTCGAATATCAAGAGCAATTCTAGGCAACAAAAACAAAATGGGAGGCATTAATATGCCAGATATCAAACTATACTACAAAGCTGTAGTTAATTAATCAATCTGCTATTGGCACAAAAATAGGAATATTGACCAGTGGAACAGATGTGAGAATCCTGATATAAAACCATCCTCAGGCCGGGCGCGGTGCTCAACGCCTGTAATCCTAGCTCTTGGGAGGCCGAGGGGGCGGATTGCTCAAGGTCAGGAGTTCAAACAGCCTGAGCAAGAGCGAGACCCCGTCTCTACTAAAATAGAAAGAATTAATTGGCAACTGATATATATATAAAAAAAATTAGCGGGCATGGTGGCTCATGCCTGTAGTCCAGCTACTCGGAGGCTGAGGCAGAAAGGATTGCTTGAGCCCAGGAGTTTGAGGTTGCTGTGAGCTAGGCTGACGCCACGGCACTCACTCTAGCCTGGACAACAAAGCGAGACTCTGTCTCAAAAAAAAAAAACCATCCTCATATAGCCATCTACATCTTGACAAAGCAGACAAAAGCATACGCTGGGAAAGAATCCTTTTCAATAAATGGTGCTGGGAAACTGGATAGCCACCTGTAGAAGGCTAAAACAGGACCCACACCTTTCACCTCTCACAAAAATCACTCACCTGGATAACAGACTTCAACCTAAGGTATAAAATATTAGAACTCTAGAGGAAAAGTTGGAAACACTCTTCTAGACTCGGCCTGGGCAAAGATTTATGAAGGTCCCCAAAGGCAATCACAGCAGCACAAAAATAAATAAATGGGACATGATGAAACTACAAAGTTCTGCACAGCAAAGAATAGTCTGAAAGTAAACAGACAACCTACAGAATGGGAGAAATTTTTGCATCCTATGATCCGATAAGGGACTGATAACTAGATTAATTAGAACTCACGAAATGAGGAAGAAAAAATCAAATAACCAATTAAAAGTGGGCAAAGGATTGAACAGAAACTTTCTAAAGAAGACAGAAGAATGGCCAACAAACATATGAAAAATGCCAACATTCTAATCATCGGGAAATGCAATCAAAACACAATGAGATATCACTTAACCCAGTGAGAATGGCCTTTATCAAAAAATCTCCAAACAATAATGCTGGCGTGTTTGCGGAGAGAGAGGAACACTCCTACACTGCTGGTGGGACTGCAAACTAGTTCAACCTCTGTGGAAAGCAATATGGAGATACCTTAAAGCGATACAAATGAATCTACCATTTGATCCAGCAATCCCATTGCTGGGCATCTACCAAATGATCCAATGACACTCTACAAAAAGACACCTGCATCGAATGTTTATAGCAGCACAATTCATAATTGCAAGGCTGTGGAACAGCCCAAGTGCCCATCAATCCAAGAATGGATTAATAAAATGTGGTATATGTATACCATGGAGTACTATCAGCTCTAAGAAACAATGGTGACATAGCACATCTTATATTTCCTGGTTAGAGCTGGAACCCATACTACTAAGTGAAGTATCCGAAGATGGAAAAACAAGCACCAGATATATTCTCCAGCAAACTGGTATTAACTGAGTCAACTAATGGACACTAGGTACTAAGTATATATAGGTTGGGCAGGTAGGAGGGGGGAGGGGGCGGGTATATACACACATAATGAGTGAGATGTGCACCATCTGGGGGATGGTCATGATGGAGACTCAGACTTTTGGGGGAAGGGGGGGAAATGGGCATTTATTGAAACCTTAAAATCTGTACCCCCATAATATACCGAAATAAAAAAATAAAAATAAAAAAATAAAAATCTGTTGTTTAATGTAGTCATTTTTATCAATTATCCTAGCTAGATCTTCTGGATAATTTGCTGCAGCTTCTACATTAGCACATGCTGCTTCACCTTGTATTATAGTTTTATTTTGTGGAAATGGCTTCTTTCCATAAACCTCAAGAACAAACCTCTGCTAGCTTTATACTTTTCTTCTGCAGCATCCTCACCTTTCTTGGTTTTCATAGAATTGAGGAGAAGTAGGTACTTGCTCTGGATTAGGCGTTGGCTTATGGGACTGTTGTGACTGATTTGATTTTCTATCCAGACCATTAAAACTTTCTGCATATCAGCAATAAGGCTGTTTCACTTTCTTATCATTCATGTGTTCACTGGAGTAGCACTTTTAATTTCCTTCAAGAATTTTTCCTTTGCATTTACAACTTGGCTAACCATTTGGTGCAAGAGGCCTAGCTTTCAGCGTGTCTCAGCTTTCAACTTGCCTTTCTCACTAAAACTTAATCATTTCTAGCTTTTGATTTAAAGCGGGAGACATGCAACTGTTCTTTCACCTGAACATTTAGAGGCCATTAAAGGTTATTAATTGGCCTAATTTCAATATTGTTGTGTCTCAGGGATTAGAGAGGTCAAGGAGAGGGAGAGAGATGGGGAAACAGCTAGTCAGTGGAACAGTCAGAACACACATAACATTTATAGATTAAGTTCATTGTCTTACATGGGCATGGTTTTTGGTGGCCCAAAACAATTACAATGGTAACATGAAAGATCACTGATCACCATAACAGATATAATAGTAATAAAAAAGTTTGAAAATGTGACACAGAGACATAAAGTGAACAACATGCTATTAGAAAAATGTCACCAATAGACTCCTTGATGCAAGGTTGACACAAACCTTCAATTTGTTAAAAAAAACCACACTATTAAGTGTAGTAAAGCTAAGTGCAATAAAATAAGGTATGCCTACATACATACAATGGACTATCATTCAGCATTAATAAAGAAGAAGATCCTGCCACTTGTGACAACATGGCTGAACCTTGAGGACCTTATGCTAAGTGAAATAAGCCAGTCACAGAAGACAAATACAGCATGATGCCACTTATATGAGGTGTATAAAATAGTCAAACACACAGAAACAGAGTAAAGTGATGGTTGCCTCAGGCTAGGGGGAGGGGCAAATGGGGAATTGCTTTTCAACAAGTATAAAATTTCAGTTATACAAGATGATGGAGTTCTAGAGATCTGCTATACAACATTGTGCCTATAGTGAACATTACTGTATTTTACACTTAAAATTTTGTCAGCAGGGTAGATATCATGTTAAGTGTTCTTACCACAATTAAAAGGAAAAAAAAGTCATGATGCTAATTGTGACCATAGTAAATTGTTTTTACTAGGATTGCATTTATTTGTAGCTCAGTTCTTTATTTTCTTTCTGTTTCTTTTAGGTTTTCCTTTTCTACTTGCTAAATATCTATTCCTTATATTCCCAGGAAAATTTTACAAGTGTTTCTGTCAGCCTGTCTTGAATGGGTCTGTTTTCTCTGATTTCATACATCTTTATTCTAGCCTCTCTTTCCAGTCCCCTCACTTACCATCTGGCATTTATTTTATTTCCTCTCAGCTTTTACAAAATGTAGTCTATACCTGTTTTTGTGTCTTATATTTGTGGATCTGAAATCTTATCACTTTATGCTTGTTTTCAATTCACTTTTGTTTCACATTTGTTTATTTACCACTCCCCCATCTTCCCAGAGATTCATCAGCCTATTTTTACTAAGTAGTGTTTATGTTTGATTAGCTGCTTTGATAAGTTGCTCTTTGTTTCTGGTGAGAAAATTGTAATAGTATTTTATTAATGTTCATACACATAAATAATGTGTTCATTGTTTTATATAAAATAAAATATTCCTGTTAATTTTTAACAGATGCTCCTGTTATAAAGAAGGAATCTGAAACTATTCGAAATGAGGTAAGGGAAGTTGGGAGAGAACTTCTAACAGTCATTATTTTATAAAGGGATGAAATATTTGTAAATGGGAAAGTATTTATAGATAAATGAAAAAAAGTACCCAAGAAGTTTTCAGTTGTTTCATGGTTATTTCTATTATGGCAGTATCTGTACAGTTACATTGTTGAAAGAGAGGCTTCAGCATAAAATAGTAATATGTAAAAATATATTTGTAAATGGGGGACAAAAGGTGTTGAGGAAGAAAAAGGGAAACAAGTAAAAAGTGTGAAGTTCTGCATAAGATCTCAGAAATGCCATAAACCTATTTTTACGTTCTCACCAAAATCTTTTATCATATTGTAAACTTTGCCCATGAATAATATTATATAGTTCATAATAGAAATCAATAAAAAATAGAGTTCATATAATATAATTTGCTTTTCAGCTAATTTTACGGAAGGTATTCATTCCATAAACAGTGGATCCCCATGTAAAGCAATAAAAAGTAAAATGTTCTTTACTGCTTGATAAATACGATATAATGATTTCCATTCTTCGGTCAGTGGCTCCCAAATACCAATTGAAGAGTCTGTATGTACTCTTTTCCCCAGTCAAGGAAAGAAAAAAAGACAATATATAGAGAATTTTCACAAAGCTAAATTTATTTAGCTTAACAGGCCATCTTTCATTTTATGATATCATTTTTGTACTATTTTGCTATTAAAAATTTTTAAATTTTTCATATAGTTGTGATTTCATGATATTGTTCCTTTTGCTATTTTGCTATTAAAATTTGCCTTGTTTCATAATTTAAAGGTGATAGCATAATAACAGTAAAATGTCATTCCCTCAGATTTTTTATTTTTATATAAACCAGAGATGTTACTGGTTTATAAAATTTAAACATATGACAACTACTGCATTATAAACCACACTTTATAATTTTTATAGAAAGTATTCTACAGTCCATGATTTCAGGCAAGTAGAGAATTTCTCATGTCTTTTATTGAGAATGTAATAATTTACAAATATTAATGGTAATCTGTTATAATAAAGGGTAAGTGTACAACTGATTTTAAGTCATTTTATTTTAAATATTTCCGAATCAGTGATGATTAATTGATAGCTTGTTTTATTGCTATATTTTCTAGTTACCGGATATGGACATTAAGAAAGGCCTGACCATACCAACTTTGAGCCTATTAGACCAAGATTATTCAGCTGCTGTTCCTCCTAAACGTGATAAATCAACACATTCACATACAGATATTCCATTGACCACTATTCCTAGAGTGGAAATCACAGAAGAGGACAATATACCATCTATATATCCAAGCCCACCAGAAGTTGGGCCGGAGACAACATTATTATTTCCACAAGAAGTAAAATTGGCAGATAGATATCCAGGCATTTTAAAAACAGAATCATCTTCATCAGAGGTAAAGTTGAGAAGTAGCTGTATAAATTCAGAGAGAATAAGAAGGATGAACTTAAATTCATCTCCAACAGAAAATAGGTGGCAAAGCAACTCTCGAAACTTAGCTGAAAGGAAGAGCACACTCTTAGTTTCCCCAGATTCAAAATTAAAAGGTAGCTTTCAAAGGCAAAATCCAAAAGAAGACCTTGAAGTAAAGTGTCTGCCCTCACATGAATACTATAAGGCTAGTTAAATAATCTATTTTTTAAAAAAATTAGATTGAAATAAATTGAAAATGCATTTAAATGTCTCCAAGTGAAAATGTGTCTTAAGTATATTAAATATTCCTATGCTATTTATACTGATTAAGTGATGAGGATAAAAACATTTGAAGAAAAAGTAAAGTGATTTGAGATGCCAGTAATATAAATTAACCTCATAGGTTGGTATAAAATTCAGCTGAAGGTGTAATAACAATAACAAAATGTAAATTCAAAGATAATTTAAAAGCCTGGGAAATTATTTCAGTGGAAATTTTTAATCAAACTTATAGGAAATAACATCTGTTCTCTTTCTTACAAATAATTTTATAGTTTAAAATGAGAATAATCAGAATGTAAATTTAAAGGTATATCAGAGTAAAGACTTTCTTGAAATGATAGTTATTGTACTTAATTCTTTACATGTAATTTGAATCACTATTACAGGTACCTTCTAAAACAGTATAAAAAGATGTATCAGTCAGAAGGTAAAGAATTTGAGTTCCGAGCAAGGCTCTGCTTCTAAATACTTCAACCTAGTTTGGGCATCTAAATCTCTAGACCTATTTTCTTATCTTTTGAATGATAGATCAGACTTGGTCATTTCTAAATTCCCTTCCACATTTAAAAAGATATAATTTTAGCTTGGAATTATTCTTAATTACATAAGTCAATAGCTCAACCAATATAACTTAAAAAGAATAACATTCTTTTGAATGTGAAAGTAATACACAGTCACAGAAAATTTAGAAAATGGAGAAAAAAAAAGAAAAGTAGTTACACTTCTACTGCCACATTTAAAAATTTTATTTCCTTTCAGTCTTTGTTATGCATATATAGATTATATCTTTTATGTGTTTTAAAAATTTGGATCTATATATATAATTTCATATTATGCCTTATTGCCTTAATGTTAGAACATTCTCACATATGGATATTCCATGATTTTTTAAATAGTTTTCATATTGGACATTAAGTTTTAAATTGATATTCTCTTAACTATTTATTTGGATCTGTGATTATCTCATAATATATTTATAGAAATGGCAAGTTGACGAATTGCTCTCCAGGATTATACTACTTTACATTCTCACCAATGGTATTGAGTATTGTTCATCTTTTAAATGATGATTAAAACTTTTTCATGTTCATTAGACATTTTTATTTTCCCTACCATGAATAGATAGGTCATGTTATTTGTCTCTTTTTCTCTTTTGAAGACTTAGAGATTTTGATTAGGTTTTATAATAGCTCTTTTTAGGATATTCACCACTTGCATAGATACATTGTTTTCAGTTTACCTTTTAATTTCTTTGTTAGATTCACTGTGACTTCTAAAATATTTTATTTTCATTGATAAATGAGTAATTTATTGCTGCCTAATGAACTACTTCAAAACTTAGTGGCTTAAAACAACCACTTTATTTTCTTTCAAGATTCTGTGGGGTTGGCTGTACTTAGCTGGGCAATTTTTCTGCTCTACTTGATGTTGGATGGCGGATGCACTTGTAGTCATACAGGTGCTTGATTGGGCTGGAACACTCACAGTGGCTCACTTACATGTCTGAAAACTTGATAAGGACAGATGTTTGGCTAGGCTCAGCTGGTATACAAGAACCTCTGGTTTGATGACCATTTGTCTCTCACCATCTCTCTCCCTCTCTCATATATGTGTGTGTGTAAAATCTGTTTCTCCATGTAATTTTAGGAATTATCCCTCTTCTTCTCCATGTGACTTCTTCATGTGGTCTATGTAGTCTTTCTAACAGGGCAGCTGAACTTTTTATGGGGCAACTCAGGGCTTCCAAAATATAAAAACAGAAGCTTCAGGTCCTCTTGAGACTTAGGATTGAGACTAGTACAGGGTCACTTCAGCTGCATCTGTTAGTTATAGCAAGTCCCAAGCTCAGTCCTGATTCAGTATGAGAGGGGAATACAGAAGGGCATGCATCTTTGGAGGTGTTCATTGGAGTCCATATTTAGAGATTAAATATCTCCAGCCCCAAGGAATTCATATTCCTTCCACATGTAAAATATTACTTTCCTTCCAAGATCCTCAGTCTCATGCTATTACTGCATCAAGCTCAGACTTGAAATACAGAATTTTATTTTCTAAATCAGGTCCATGTGGGTGAGTATGGCTTGAGTATGGCTTCTTTCAATTTTAAAACCTGTAAATTGAAGAGACCTGTTATCTGTCCTCTACGTATGGTGGTGGGTGAGTCAGGAACAGGAAAATTGGAATAAACACTTACTTTTTAAAGGTGGAGGGAGGGAAGACATGAGGCATATGCTGGTCAGTGGACCACCATAATTCTGAAGTTCTTGGCTTTGCCATCTGAATAATCCTTCTTTTTCCATAAGAAGGAGCTTCTGTTTTTAGTTGAGTAGCTTTGCAGCCTATGTCCTGTCTATAGAAAACTGAGGGTTCAAATGCATCTTTTCATTTTAAACTATCTATTTTTCTTTTAGTCCAAGATGCTGTGGTTCTTTGAAAGATTTTTTACACTTCCTGTGTATCAAATTAAGATCTTAATTAGCCAAATATTACACTTCCAAATATCTTCAAGACAGGACCCTATTTTTTTGGGCTGAGAGTCAGGGCTTTATGGCAAAATGTCCTTAAGAATTTTAGAAGTGCTCCTGTCTATTAGGAAGGGCCTAGGTACCACCTAAGACTCTTACAATATTTTTGTCTAGCTGAGAAGGTCTGTAAGGCACCACCTTAAGTCTTTTTAAGGTCTTAGCAACAGATCTTACAGCCACACCCTTGTCATCTTGACCCTAAAACTACATTCCAATGAACCCACTTTTTTCAAGGTCCCCAAGAATGTCCATATTACCAAATATGATTATCAATTCTCAGACCTCATCTTCTTGTCTGCTTAGTAGCATTTTTTTTTAATTTTTTTTTATTTTGGCATATTATGGGGGTACAGATTTTAAGGTTTCAATAAATGCCCATTTCCCCCCCTCCCCCCAAAAGTCTGAGTCTCCATCATGACCATCCCCCAGATGGTGCACATCTCACTCATTATGTATGTATATACCCACCCCCCTCCCGCCTGCTTAGTAGCATTTGACACAAATAATTGCACCTTTTTTTGAAAGTGAGTTTTTTCATTGGCTTTTTAAAATTTCAGCATATTATGGGGGTACAAATGTTAAGGTTACGTATATTGCCCATGCTCCCTCCACCCCCTTGAGTCAGAGCTTCAAGTGTGACCATCCCCCAAATGTTGCACATCTCACTCATGATGTTTGTATATACCCATCCCTTCCTCCCCCATCCCACCTGCCTGACACCTGATAAATGTTTTTCCTATATGTCCACTTACATGTTGATCCATTAGTACCAATTTGCTGGTGAGTACATGTGGTGCTGGTTTTTCCATTCTTGAGATACTTCACTTAGTAGAATGGGTTCCAGCTCTATCCAGGAAAATACAAGAGGTGCCATATCACTGTTGTTTCTTAGAGCTGAATAGTACTCCATGGTATACATATACCACATTTTATTAATCCATTCATGTATTGATGGGCACTTGGGTTGTTTCCACAGCTTTGCAACGCTATAAAGATTCGAGTGCAAGTGTCTTTTTCACAAAGTGACTTTTGATCTTTTGGGTAGATGCCTAGTAGTGGAATTGCTGGATCAAGTGGTAGATCTACTTGTATCACTTTAAGGTATCTCCACATTGCTTTCCACAGAGGTTGAACTAGTTTGCAGTCCCACCAGCAGTGTAGGAGTGTTCCTATCTCTCTGAATCCATGCCAACATTTATTGTTTGGGGACTTTTTTTATAATGGCCATTCTTACTGGAGATAGGTGATAACTCATTGCAGTTTTGATTTGCATTTCCCTGATGATTAGAGAGTTGAGCATTTTTTCTTATGTTTGTTGGCCATTATTCTGTCTTCTTTTGAAAAATTTCTGCTCATATCCTTTACCCATTTTTTGACAGGGTTGTTTGATTTTTCCTTGCTGACTGTCCTGAGTTCTAAATAAATCTAGTTATCAGCCCTTTATTGGATGTGTAGCTTGCGAAAATTTTCTCCCATTCTGTGGGTTATCTGTTTGCTCTCTTGACAGTTTCTTTGGCTGTGCAGAAGCTTTTTAATTTTATCAGGTCCCATTTATTTATTTTTGTTGCTGCTGTGATTGCCTTTGAGATCTTCTTCATAAATTATTTGCCTAGGCCAATGTCTGGAAGAGTATTTCCAACATTTTTCTCTAGAATTCTAATAGTTTCACACCTAAGGTTCAAGTCTGTTACCCAGCATGAGTTGATTTTTGTGAGAGGTGAAAGGTGTGGGTCTTGTTTCAGTCTTCTAAATGTGGCTATCCAGTTTTCCCAGCACCATTTTTGGAATAAGGATTCTTTTCCCCAGTATATGTTTTTGTCTGTTTTGTCGAAGATTAGTTAGCTATATGAGGATTGTTTTATATCTGGGTTCTCTGTTCTGTTCCACTGGTCAATGTCCCTGTTCTTCTGCCAGTCAAAAGCTGTTTTAATTACTATAACCTTGTAGTATAGTTTGAAGTCTGGTAAATTGATACCTCCTATTTTGTTTTTATTGCCTAGGATTGGTTTTGCTATATGGGATCTTCTCTGGTACCATACGAAGCGCAAAATTATTTTTTCTATATCTGTGAAAAATGATGATGGTATTTTGATAGGGATTGCATTGACTCTGCAGGTCACTTTGGGTAGTATAGACATTTTAACAATGTTGATTCTGCTGACCCATGAGCATGGTA